GAAAGACTATAGTCAATAAGCCCTCCTCAGACCAAAGAGCTTTCAGTACGTATTCAATCCTCTGTTCAATGTAAACAATTATAAATCACCAGACATTAGAGGAAAGCATCTGTTATGAAATGCAGAGAGTAAATAGGGGGGAAAAAGCAGCTTGGAGGAAATAGACTATGCAAGTAGATGAAACCTTTAAAAAAAGAACTACCATTAATATTTTTATTGATAATCTCAGAAAGACAAAAGAAAAAAATCACATTCACAAAATAATAGTGGTATAGAAGAAAAATTCAGAGAACAAGAATGTGCTCTTGGAAATTACAAATGACAGAAAAGAAAAACTCAACAGAAGGCTTAAAGGAGTACATTAAGAATACATCCTGGAGTATGCAAAGAGATGAAATATAGGTCAGAAAAGCTTCCCTCCTATATAGACTAGAGAATCAATATGTTAAGGGTCTGATATAATAAGATTCCCAGAAAGAAATTGAGACTACAAAGGATAAAATTAATAAATATTTGGAAAAGATTTTCATAATTTAAATACATGAGTATTTAAAGAGCACAGTAAAGTATACTGTAATATAAGACTTACAGTGAAATTTAACACATTGGGGCAAATAGGATATCTATAAGTATTTGGAGTGAAAATAATAAAATACTAACAAAGAATCAAGAATCAAAAATAGATTGGAGTTTTCAATACTGAAATTTAGAAAAAAAGAAACAAACAAACAAAAAAAACTTTTAAAATACTGAAAAAAGAAATTCCATCCAAGAAATCTATACTCAGCTAACCTTCTAATTATGAGGGTAGAACACAGGTATTTTGGATATAAAGGTCTCAAACACTGTATGCATCCTAAACCGTTCCCCAGAACATTACTGTGTAATGTACTCCTCCAAAATGAGAAAGTTAACCAAGAAAGAGGAAGTTATAGTATACACAAAACAGGAGACCTAACATATGAAAGAGAGAGAGGAAACAGGATATCCCCAGAAAGATGGTGAATGTGCCCAGCATGACAATTGTTTGGATGCAGAAGTAGTGGTTGCAAATATTTTGGTTTATCCAGGGTTTGGGATTTTCTAGGTAAGCACGATGGAAAACAGACACATGAATTGACAGTGAAAAAGGGTTGTTACAATGATGAAATATTAAAACCATTCTGGATAAGAATGAAAGTATAGACTAGAGGAGAATGATAGCGAACAAGTAGCAAAATCAATTGTTTAGAAGTCCTGAAGAGATATTAAAAAATTTCTAGAGAGCAAGAACTAGCATAAATGAGCTAGGAAAGGAGGTGGTAGTCAGAGAGGTTAAGGTGATCAAGATGTTAGAGAAGATATGGTTTCTAGTGATGACTAGCGAATGTGTGGTTGAGGGAAGGAAATGTGGGTCAAATACTGAGAGCTCAGAATGGAGTTATCTGCACCGATAATGAAGTCACCCATAGGGTGATACAAGTAGAGGTATAAAGAAAGAAAGACCAACAGGAACTAAAGTATTCAATTAATGTAGGGAATGAATTAAGATAAATGACCTATAGATTAATGGTTGACAGTACCACGAAGGGGCAGGGCATAATATATCCACATGACATGGCTTCAAATAAGCTGAGGCATTTTTGAAGGACACACCTATCCCAAATCCTAGCCTTGAAGTACAAGAGGAATGATAGAAAACAAAAACAAAAAACAATAACCCTCACTAGAATTGGAAGATGTATCCTTAATTAATGTCCAGTTTCAGTTAGGGCAAGAAAATACGCAGAATTTTCAGAGACAAAATTGCTGATATAAAAGAGTTTTCTAATCAAAGTTGTTTGCCGAGTAGAAGGTAATCAGAATGTGGGGGATTTATCAACTTAGAGATATACAAAGGATGTAGGAGCTACCAGGGAAGAATAATTATGATAATGGTTGATAGAGAGGCATTGGCTTCTGGTGGTACTCGAAGTAATTATGGATGTCAAGCATGGTCAAAGTCATCATGGTAGTCTCAGAGAACCCTGGGCATTAGTTCACTGGGTATCCTTTCCATTCAAAGTGTGGTACCAGGGCCAGCTGCTTTGGTATCACTTGAAAGCTTGTCAGAAATACAAAATTACAAGCTCTACCCCAGGCTTAATCAATCAGAATCTTACTCAATCTGATTGATTCTTAATCAATCAGAATCTTACTATTGTGTGTACAATAAGGTTTAAGAAGCATTACTTTAATTATTTACCTCTAAAATATGGGATGCCTGTTTTCTCCTCTAGCTCTTGTCAGTGGACTCACCAGAAGGTGAATATGTTGAATTCATCATGGGACTATTTCTCTTTAAAACATCATTATGAGACCACATTGATGAGCACATTACTAAACTATAACTTTCTCTGCCTTCAGATGGGGACTATTTTGTATATTATTAGTGCCTGGTGCCTAATAAAATCCCTAAAACATACACAAAAAATTTCCTAGATATTGTGGAAGCCTGGAGAGCAAGAGGGACTATGTGTGCAGGAGGAATCTCTTTAGCAGCTGGGCTGGTGATATGGAGAAGGTAGGACTGTAGGATTGCAAAAGGGAAGACTGGGTAGGTTGATAATTGGGGAAAGGTAATTAAAATATAAATTCATAAAAAAGATGTCAAATATTTTAATTTCAAATACACACACACACACACTCCGCTACATTTGTATGTACATTAATTCCGTCACAGATATTCTATTGTAGAGTCAAGGCCTTTTATTGGAGTATGAACTGGTTTCTGAGAGTTCTGCAAACATCTTTCCTGCACAAAGCATACTAAAAATGCATTGTCTAAAGATATTTATTTCTGCTGTCTTTAAAGTGAATTGTGAAGCAATCAGTACAGAATCTTCCTAGATTTTTGTTTTCCCTATCTTTTAAAATTCTCATCTATACATAACAGCATTTTAAAAATGATTTGACTTTTATCTAGCCTTTCTTATAAAGTCAAACTTGTCCTCTTTGCACTTATATTTTGATGGTATATAACGTACTTAACTAAATTGTCCAAGACTAGTCTCTGGTAATATAGGGGCTTAAAAAAATCCATCATCATTGGTTATAGTAATGGGCAATTTTAGTGTGTTACTTATTTTCTCCTATAGTTAACTGTGTGATCCCCTCTCAGATTTCAGTGGACTTGCCCATCAGGTTAACCCTAGTGGATTTGGCAGTGCAGCTTACCAACCTAGAGTTCTTAGGACTTGGTCCTCTGGAATGAAGGCAGCATGCCAGGTCTTCTGTAGCAGCCAGACCATTTGCCATGGCAGCTTCAAATTGAGCAAGAATTCCACAATTTCACACATGAGTGCAGTTAAGTCTCAGGTGGATGGCAGCCAGGCTCCATAAATAACTCCCCGTTATCATTGTTCCAAAACTCAGACTTTTAAAAGGCACTGCCTACCCTAAAGGTCCAGTCCTTAATGACATGATTTGTATGAAACTTGAGCAATAGCCTGAGGCTGCCAAATCAGGTAAAAAGGACTTTCCCATAATAATATCAACCTAATCTAAGTAGATTTCAGTTGGATCATGATATGACAACATATGAGTGATCCATGCAGGGCACTCACTTTGGTTTTTTAAAAAATATTCTTAAGTTCATTTATAAAATATATTTGAGAAATAATTTTGTGTTTAGAGATATAAGCTCTAAGAGAAATATATGCTCATGGATATTCATGCCTACTGGTACTATCTACTTTAAAATTATTTGCCTTTCTTTCTGACCCATGAGACATAGCTCAAAAGCAATAACAAGTTTTACTCTGCCTACCAGCACTTCTGATATGGTTTGGCTGTGTTCCCACCCAAATGTCATCTTGAATTGTAGCTCCCATAATTCCCACATGTTGTGAGAGGGGTCCAGTAGTAGATAATTGAATAATGGGGGTGGTTTCCACCACACTGTTCTTGTGATAGTGAGTAAGTCTCATGAGACCTGATGGTTTTATAAGGGAAAATCCCTTTCACTTGGTTCCCATTCTGTCTTGTCTCCCAACATGTAAGACATGCCTTTCACCTTCTGCCATGATTGTGAAGCCTCCCCAGCCACACGGACCTGTGAGTCCATCGAACCCATTTTTCTTTATAAATTACCCAGTCTCAGGTATGTCTTTAACAGCAGTGTGAAAACGGACTAATACAACTTCTTGTAGAAAATTAGGCATATAATACACGTTAGTTGAAATAATCAATTGGAGAATGTAGGCTTTGTGTTTTTTTTTTTGAAAGAGTCTTGCTCAGTCACACAAACTGAAATGCAGTGGTGTAATCATAGCTAACTGTAGCCTCAATCTCCCAAGCTCAAGCAATGCTTCTGCCTCACCTTCCTGTATAGCTGGAATTACAGATATGTGCCATCACACCTATCTAATTTTATTTTTAATTTCATTTTTTTAATTTTATGTTTTGTAGAGATGAGATTTTGCTATGTTGCCCAGGCTGGTCTGGAACTCCTGAGCTGAAATGATCCTCCCACCTTTTCTAACAAAGTGCTGGGATTAGAGGCTGAGCCACCATGTCCAGCTCGGAATGCAGGCTTTTTAATACAAATTCAAACCTAAAAACAAACAATGAGAAGATGGGGTCAATAACCAACATATGCTCTTTTTTGTACAGCTGAGGCTCTGCCAGATTTAAAATATGAAACCAATCATACTTTACTTCTGGAACAAGAATACAGTAGATCTAAATATAAAATGACCAAAACAAACAAACAAAAGTATTAAATCTCCTAAGCAAGCATCAATTTTTTTAAAAAAAAGTCATCTATCAGATGCTCAAGGAAAAGTATCAGAAATTAACACAAAATTTTCTAAATATTGAACACAGAAATTTTGCTATTCGTCATTTTTTGTGCCTCAAGAAATATCTGATGGCTTTACAAGTGATAGGTGCTTAGAAATTCAGCATACAAAATTCATTTTCCCCCACCTATTATCAATTATAGATTTTACCCAAAAGAGGAAAAACACTTAATCAAATAATTACAATAGTGTTGAGGACTTTTTATTGTGTTTTCCATATAGATAAAAAATAAGGCTTTTTGATGAAAAGAATCCATTACAAAGTAAAAAATCCATTACAATTATAATTAAATCAGTAACAAAATTTAGCTTTAAATGAGTCAAGTATTCTGCATTTGAAATTTAATATTACAAACATTCAAGATTAGTGAATTTTGGTAAGAAAAAAAAACACTAGCAGAAAGGAAAAGGACACCTTTTCAACAGATAGTAATTTATAGAAGTGTTTTTAAAAGTGCTTTGGGAAAACACACAGTATCGTTACTTAAGAAAAGTCATTTAAGGAAGACTTAAGTGCTTCAAGTGGAGTGGGTTGCAGACTAAAAAATGTTTTAAAAATTTCCAAGAAATTTAAGTGTTAAAAATACTCCTCTCCTTATTCAGTTTCATGTTTAAAGAAACATTTAACAGACAAGTAAACCAAAGGCAAAAAAAAATTCACCTGCATTTTAAAATAATAAATTCTGGATCTGTAAAAGCTCTTGGTTTGTACACAGAGGCCAATGCTGACCTTCATTGATCTATTTCTATATAGTTAAAAAAATATAGTAACAAATCTTTCTTCCTATCCCCCCAAAAAACTAGGGGAAGTATTTTAAATTGTGAGTGTGTGAATGTAGCTATAGATATCCCTAAGTGTACAAAACACACAAACATCACTTTACTTCGAAAATTATTTTCATCATACTGTAAACATCTCTTCCCCTACATCTGGACATTTTGAAATAGTCTTTGGTATTACTAGTTACTGTGCTTTGAAACAGAAACTTGCAGAATTTCTGTAGTAGTGCTACATAGATATTTTAAGATATAAATAAGAAAAATGCACTTGGAATAAGTTACATTTAGCTGCTTTTGCATAATTTTCAAAACCTACAGTGTATGCCTAGTCACAGTTTTATGAGAAAGAATGTCTCCTTTTTCAACTTAATTTTAAGGAACACTTAATCATTTTGGCTAAATATCCATTTTTGGAGTGGATCTGATGGGTTGCATGACACTAAACTTGGATGCTCTCCATTTGCTGAAAGGCACATTTTTAAGAATGGATTGTATAGAAGTTGATCCTAGAATAAAAGGAAACAACAGACATTAAATTTCAAGACTCATAGTTAAGTGATAAATATGAAAAAGATTTTATGGCTTCACTGAAGCAAACCTAATAGTAAATCTTTCTAAGGTGAGCCATGTCTGATAAACTCTTTTTGACTTCTAGTGAAAATGCCACCTTTTTAAGCTACTACTGTTCAATTAGTAAGGTATCACATAATGAAGAGAGGCAGACAGAACAAGGTTTGAATCACATTTTCAAACAAGAAGTATTCCCTTGATATATTTGTAAGTGACAAACTCCTAAAAACATTGTAAATCATAAAAGCCAGTGTTAAGGTTTTCTAGTATTGCACAAAACAATGTTCGGGTAAGAATTGCTACGATACAGCTAAGCCTTAAACATGTTTAAAAACAGAATAGACCTGTTTTGTATTCTCTCAATTCTAGGTTCATGAAAAAGTGCTAAAACAGGGTAGAAAAAAATTAATCTCTTCAAGCGAGAAGATATAATAATTTTTCCTCTCTCTGCCAGAAAAAAAAATATGACTGTTGCCAAAAGCATTGTAAGAAACCCTAAATAGTAAAAAGCAAGTGACTAATAATAATTCACAGAAGTGCTCATCTGCATATATCATGGTTCAACCAAGCAACTTAATTTTTTGTTACTAAGAGTACTTAATTCATAGATATATTCTCTTATCACATGGGTAGAAACACATAACAACAAAGTTAATAAAGAGAGAAATTCTGATAGATAATATTAATGTACCATGTTCCACTCATTTTCCCAGGTAAGCAAGTAGAGCTAAGAAAAACAGTTCAAGAGATGAATTAATTGCACTGAGGTACCTTCTGGATCTCCCATATCTGCTCTCCAGTGACAACTGTCTTGTGACCTTTGTAGGTACATGCCTTCAGCTGAACGAGACCTTGGGCAGCATGAAGACATAATTCCTTCTGGATATTGTGCCGGATTTCATGTTGAGCAGAGTATTCAAAGTACTATGGAAGGAATACACTGTTATTGACAAAAGCAACCCATGTGCTCAGTTGCAAAATAAATAAATAAATCAGCACCTCATTAAATAATGAAGTCATTTCTATTTCAACAAAATAATACAATAAAAATAGTTATCAGAAACATACGCTGAGTTTTTATGATAGACGATACAATAGCCTTCCTTCATCAACAGTTGGTTACTTCATTAAGAAGGTACTGTCTTCCTCCCATACCACAAGTTGGAAGTTATCAAGGAGAATCGGGACTACCCCAGCCATTCCTCAGAAAAGGGAATGAAGAGCTAACAAGCACTTTAATTGCCTCTCTCCCACAAGTGTTCCATTGCTCTTCTTCATCTCAATTAAAGGTGTTTTCACTAAACTAGGGACTTCAGGGTGTTCACCATGCCTCAGTTTTCTCACTTGAAAATGGATAATTTACTAGTTCCTACCCCATAGGGTTATGAAGATAAGTGGGTTAATATGTATCATACACTTAGAACAATGACTGGCACATGGTGAGTTTTCATACATTTTAGCTATTGTTACTATTGACGCTTCTCTTTCTCCACATATCCAAATAATTCGTCCCTTAGCTGTACTATTTCTCTCAGATGTTAACATCCCATCCATTCTTACTTCCGTGTATTCACTTCTGTTACTCAGACTCTCAGAATTTTACTGAAACACCTAGAGCTACCTCCAGTTTCTGTTCCTATCATCCAGCAATCCAATCTGCTGCCAGATAGTCTTTTATAGCATTGGTTTGATCCCTGACTGCCCTTGCTTAAGTGAATCACTACTGTTGCTGAGATAAAGTCCACACTCCTTAATTGGTACATGAAATCTATCATTTTTGATCTTGCATCAACCATTGCCCCAGTTATATATTATGTTTCTTTCACACAATTCCACCAATCAGAACATGTGTATCTATAATTCTAAGATTTTGCTTTACAGTATGTCCTCTGCCTGGAATATATTTTTGACCCTTTTCTGTCTGGCTAACTCCTTTTTAATCCTTCAAGAGCCAACTCAAATATTACCTTCCTTCTTTGGCTTTGCCTGATTTTGCCCTGCTGCACAAAATTACACTCTTTTCAAGGTTCCCATAGTACATCAGACATAACTTTTCTAGCACTGTATTAGAATTGTGTGTGGTATATAGAGCTGGCTTCCCCATAGACTGAAGTCAGGTAATTTATCGAGTCATAAAACCCATTACAAATCCAATATTTCATAATATTGACATTATAAAGATAAAATAAGTTAACATAATTGATTTTCAATAATGAAATAATTAGTAAGAGCATTAATATTTGTTAAGTCCTTATTACATGCGAGGCAGACACTGTGTTAAACTCCTTATGTATATTAGAGCAGGCACTTCTACAAACATTTGCTGAATTCACAGAGCCACATATCTTGAGTTTCCCTACTCTTAGTCTCATGCTTAATTTATCTCCGCCCACAAGCAAAACATCAGTCATTTTTATAACTAGTAGTTCTTCAGATGGAAACACTGGAAGAAAATGGGTTTAGATGATGAAAATAGCATTCTAGCTATACTTGGCTAAGAAAGAGAAGCCTTAAGATCTCAAAGATGGTAACAAAGGCTGTCAAGTATTTTACCTATTATTAAAAAGTCATTAAAACAAAAATGATAAAAAATTGAAAATATTGAAAGTACTTTGGTAACAAAAAAGAGCACATAATTGAATAGCTAAGAATGTTGGAGAGGCCCATTACTTAGAACGAGTAGAGAAAGTGGAAGAGGCAAAGCAGTAAACATAATCAAGTTATAATGACTCAAACTGCATTGCTCTAGTAATATTGGCCAACTTAGTCACATAACCAAAATATTTATTTTTACTTGGCATACATGAAAAGTGTTACAATGAAGTTTTATGCTATAAAGACATTATCTGATCAAAAGTAAAAGGAAACATGAAAAATGATCAAGTTATATAATGTCATGAAATTTTAGCACTCAGGGAACTGAAATTTACAAAACGGTTTAAGTGCAATGCTTGATTAAAAATAAAATGTCAAGGAAATGAACCAAAATAAAATCAATAGCTGTGTTAGGGTAACAAAAGCCAAATTTTTCTATTTAATATGTATACCAGATAATATTTACTCTCCTGTTCAAAACTCTTCAGCCATTTCTGTCAAACTCAGAATTAAGTCCAAGTTTCTTAATGGGGCCTGTTAAGCCCTAGATGATCAGGTCCTTATCAATGTCCCTGACCTCACTTCCTACTCCTCTTTGCTAGACCACTCTGTTCTAGGCACACTGGCTGTCTGCTTTCTCCATGTATCTGCCTCTGGGCCTCCACCCTTGGAAATCCTTCCTCCAAGATAAGCATCTTTTCCTGGAACACTCTCTCAAAGTATTCAGGCCTCCACTCTAAGGTCGCTTTTCCAAAAAGGTCTTCCTTCACCTCTTAAAATAACCACTCCACCCCAAAACACACTATTCTCTTACCTGCTATATTTTTCTTCATGCCCAATACTACATATTTTTTTCTTTGTTCCTGTGGAACATAAGCTCCACAAGATCAGGAGCTTTGTCTTTTCACTACGGTAACAGTCATTACAAGCTACTTTATAGGTTCTAAACAAATATTTATTGAAAGAATATGTGAATTTTTCCCATCCCCCAATTTCTAAAAGATAGCTATATTCTATTTAAAATGTAAACATATTTTTGATACAGAGCTATCATGAAGCTGTTATTATCTTTATGACAATAACAGAAAAATGGAAAAAAGCAATGTGTACAATATATCCTCAGCTTTTAAGATGAAATAAATGTAATGCTAGAAGAAGCCTAAGAGAAATTTATAAGGATTTGCATTTAGTGATAAGATTTTTACAAATGCAGAGATATTTCCTTTTGCTCAAAATCTTAATTTTTACAAGCATAGATCAGTGTTATTTCCATAGAATGCAATTATTTATGTAACTATTTTTCTTCTAATATATGAAGGGTAAGAACATTCTTAAAAAGATGCATATAGATTTATGCACATACACATATATGTACAGATATATGTATGTAGATATAGGTATAGATGCATGTATGTCTATATGTGTCCATATATATCTCCATCCTATTTCAGAATTACACCTTAACCATCCAGCAATAGATCCAGTTCACCAGCTCTGGTTTCTGGGCATCTGTATCGTCTGCCCTCAGTAGAAAGATTGGTTTAGGTGAATAAGGATTAGAACTAGATTAAGCTGAGCCTAATGGGTAGGAAGAAATACAGAAGAGGATGGACCAGGAGATAAACTGGTTCTTTCTTCCTAAAACTGACATCTCAAAGTTTCATCCCATTAAAATAGGACATCATGGATATTAATAATTGCAAAACTCCTCCACACACATCTTGGACTCTACATCGAAATAACTGCAATGCCCATAAGAGATACTCCAGGCTCTTCTCTTCAGTTCACTTTCCTTCACACTCTTCTTATTCTGTTGCCATTCCCAACAGCCACCTCACTAGCTCCTACCTACTTTTTTTTTTTTTTTTTTTAATGTTTTCAAATGTCATCTTTCTCAGGAAAATGTGTGGCACCCACTCTCATTCAGATGCCCTTTTCTATACCCCGAGAACACTCTGAATGCTTTATCCTCAGGAACTGCTGGTTTACCGATTTCCTAAAGGAGTTAGAGTTTTAAATAGCTTGAACTCCTCAGAGTATCTGGCATGCAGGGCTCACTCAATTAATTTGTTGAATGAACAAATGAGAGAAATAGTCTAATCTTTCCAGGAGTTAATTTGCAAAAGGTAAGGAAAGGAAGCTTAAAAAAACAGAAACTTTGTATGTAACATGTCCTCTACCCATAGGCACGTTAAATAGTAATATTTGACATTTGAATCTTAATCAGTAAAATCGTCAAAAGGTAGTAAAGCAGGGATGTCACTAATCAAGGAGAATAGTCCTCTTTTGTGGGAGAAGGAGGAACATATTGAAATAATATTGCAGCCCACAAAATTAATTTATAATGCTCTATTTTGTTATTAACACTTGAAGTAATTTGTGATTCAATCCAGTTATATGTGGCCTTTATGTGTAAACTTGCAAAATTACCATGCCAATAGTCATGCAAAAGTCGAAGCATCAAAGAGCTAAATAGAAGTTTCTTTTAAAAAAAAAATTCAAATGGCTTTTTCTATTATTTTCTCATTTTCATTTTTCTTCTTTTTTTTTTTTTTTTGGTTTGTGTGTGTGTTTGTTTTTGAGACAGAGTCTCACTCTGTCACCCAGGCTGGTATGCAATTGTGTGATCTCGGCTCACTGCAACCTCCACCTCCGTGGTTCAAGCAATTCTCCAGCCTCAGCCTCCTGAGTAGCTGGGAACACAGGCATACACCACCACACCCGGCTAATTTTTGTACTTTTAGTAGAGATGAGGTTTCATCATATTCTCCAGGCTGGTCTTGAACTCCTGACCTCAAGTGATCCACCCATCTCAGCCTCCCAAACTGCTGGGATTACAGGCGTGAGCCACTCTGCCCAGCCTTTTTTTTTTTTTTTTTTCTTAGAATGGTTAAGCTACTCAAATTGTTTTCAGAGCCAGAATAAAAACCAAAAAAATACTCATCAATATCAATTGCCAAACTCAGTCCAAAAACATTTCACACACCAGCTTACCCAAGTATAAGGCTGCTTTGGGACGTCTGAAATATAGGCAACATCTCACTTGTGCTGGTAAATGCTTTACAAGTGAAGGATTTTTAATGCAGTGAGTGCTCACCTGGTTTCCCCCAAGTCCATGACATGTATACATAATTAATGGTTTGCCTCCTTGATTGTTTTCTCCAACATCCAGACATAGAGGCTGACCAACGCTTTTAATCTAAAGGAAAATTTTCAAGTTATGAAAAGTTTTTTAATCCATGTGGTTTATATATTTTTAAAATAACTTAGAAAGTAATGTTAATTATTATAATGTAAAATCTCAAAAGCAATAAACCAGAAAGTATTTCAGCAATTTTCTTAGAACCATAAAGGTAGGTGGCAAGGAGTATATTAAGTAAAAAAGGAACAGGAAAATACTCACATATCCAGATATAACAGGATTAAGGTCTGGCACATACACCTCTGGATAAATATTGTTCAGATACCATGTAAAATTTTTACACTGAAGGCGGTGTTTTATTTCAAATCTTTTTGAAAGATCACCAAATGCTTTCTGTAGAAAGATGAGAAATGAAGGGAATGCTTAATTAAAACAACATTGAGAAAGTACTTAAAATACTACTATTTGTGTTTCTATTTAGGTATTTTTAAAAATCCATGCTATTCATGGATTCAACAGCCGTTATCATTCATTCAAGTAAAAAGTATGTCTGCCTGTTCATTTCTGGCTTTAAAAGACAGTCAAGACCACTTCAGTGCTGATTAAAATACTAAAATGATGCTATTTTATTCTTCATTTGTGCCACAAACATTCCCTACAAGACAAAAATTTCTAGTAAAATGTTGTGGGCAAAGTAATGGTGGTAGGCGCATCCAAAATTGGTCCCAACTTTATACCTAAAAGTGATCTGCAAAGTGAGGTGTGAGAAATCAGGTAAAGACAAACTGTGCCAATACACAATGCAACTTCTATCTCTTCTTCATCGAGATCACAGAAAACCACCAGCAAGAAATAACCCACTGGGAGTAACTTTTCTAGTTTCAGGATGTTGCTTGTTCTTAACAATATCCCCAACTGAACCTTTAGTATAAAAAGGCAATTTTCAAGTTAAATGAATTTTATTTTCCTTTATTTTAAGGGACTAAGAAAATAATTTAAAAAAAACTATTATTAAACTTCAAGGTATCTAACCTACAGGCAAAATATTAGAGAAAAAGTACATGTAATATCTAAATGTATGCAAAAGTAAATACTCCATCTTATCAGTTCAACTAAAGAAAATATTTCCTTATGCCAACTTCGATGTCTTGAACCCAGGCATTTCAGCAAAAAGTATGAGTCTTTAGGACTTCTGGCTAGCTTATTACATTTACCATGTAGATCTATGTGTCCTGTGGTAACAAACAGGTATTTGCTAACTCGTGTGCCCCTTTGTGGGGGACAAGCAGAGCATTAGCTTCATTTAGTGCCCACTTGCCTGCTTAGCCAAGTGCTATCACTTTGTCTTCACGGCCTTGGGTAAAAAGATAGCAATCTAACTCAATAGTGCTCTGAATTTGCATCCTAACAGGGAGATACTGGAGACCAAAGAAAAGGCGAAAGAGGTAACCAAATCGTTCTTTACCACAACAGCCAAAATATTGATACCTTTGACTCCCAATAAATACTCTGCCTTCCCTCGCCCTGCAAATTAGCACTATTTCCTATAAAGAGACGAGTACTATTCACTGAAGCATGGTCTTAAACTATCTAGTTAATTTACCGTATCTAGTATTAGTAAGACTGTTGGAACTTACTTCTAATATATTAAGTTTCATGATTCTGCCGAAAAGAATCTACTTATGGCAGGTTAATAACAAGAGTACCATATATTTGTTAGCACATATTAAGTTTCATGATTCTGCAGAACAGAATCTATTTATGGTAGGTTAATAACAAGAGTACCATATATTTGTTAGCACTTATCACTTTCTTATTTCACAGCTACTCTGGGAGAGAGGCAGGATGTGTATTTCATCTCTTAAAACACAGAAGGAGAGAAAAGAAACATGTTAAGCATGCACTCCATGTCCAGCCACCTTGCAGCCACTCTATGAAGTGTCTTCCCTATTTTACATTCTCAAAGGCTTTGCCAAAGTAACATCTCCAGTAAGTAGTGAAACTAGAGCTTGAAAAAAAAAAAAAAAAAAAAAAACGGCTTGGCACTCCTGGTTTATTCTCACGTCACATTAAGACACTATATCTCCAGTGCAAAAAGTCACTTAGAACCTTTATTTAGGTGTTTTTATTTAGGTGTTATATCTCCTAAAACCAGTAAAAACAGTTCCACTTAATTTTCTTTGAGTAAAAAAAAAAAAAAAAAAAAGAAAAAGAAAAAAAAGAAAATAAATATCTTTCATATTAAAAACATCAAGTAGAATTCCTGATTTTTAAAAAGCAGTTTATTTAGCTTTTTTCTTAAAAATGGAAACTCGGATTCCTAAGTTATGTACTTTAAGAGTTAAAATTAAAAATCTACTTTCAAATTTTTTGATGTTTTGTACTTGAGATGAATTGAAGCAAAAGGACATGTGAACTTGTTATAGGTTTTATTGCAGTTTAACTACTTAGCTTTAACTTACTTGTTTAACAATTTTTGCTGCATCTGTATTTCTCCTATAAAATATTTCCTTGTATTCATCCATCCAGACTTCTGCAAGGCGAACTTGGTTTCTAGCAATCACCTGAGTGCCTTTTGGAAAGCTATGAGGGCTTTTGCTGCGAAAAACATGTCCAACAACAGAGCAAGGCATAATCTCCAACTGCCCACCACATTGCCATACCTGATAATTAATGATATTTGTTTAAATTTACAGTATTTTAGAAAAATCAAATTGTTGCTTTTAAGTTCACCTTTAAGACATTATGAAAAACAAAATTAAAGAAGAGATTACAATATTACAAATAGTCTCTGTCCCCTGCCATTTCAACTTAAGTTCTTAAATGTAAGGAATTATTTCATTAAATGGCATAGACACTAAAGACAACAGAAGTGCATTTTCAGTAAGTTAACAAAATGGTGATTTCAGATTTTTCATAAAAATGAATTCCAGGCTTTTGTTTTCGCAAATAATTATGTAAGTTCTCTAATATGCACAGAAAACTAAAGGCTCTTACGCATTTGACTTCGTCTGAACTACTAACATAGTCACTTCTCTTAAACTAGAGTTTCTCTTCTAAGCTTGGGTAGAAGTGGACTCAGACCCTATTTACCTCTTGTATATTCAATTTTGTAACCAAGAAAACAATTCCAGATGGCTATTTTTACCAATGACCATTCTATTGAAATTGCAAAGTAGTGGATGATTATTTAAAAATTCATGCCAATTTAGAGATAAAATGTCAAAAAAACCCTGATTTGCATTAATGTTAAATAAAATGGCAAATCATGAAATCAATGCCTTTTCACTTAAATATCTTAATAATTGACTCTGCCATAGTTACCAAGCAAAGAATCAGAAAATAAGTCATATTTAATACTACGTGCTAGTAGTAGAGCAAGTGATTACAATCTCTTTCTCTCCTTTCTTTCTTGAACAAATGAGAAGACTCAGTGATATGTTCAATTCAACAAACTGTGCTTGTGACCCAACATGTGCTAGGGGTTGGAAATACTGAAATAAATAAACAAGACCCCGCCATAAGCAGTTCAAACTTGGCTGAGATCATCACTGCCAGTATGTGATGGAGCCAGAGCCAAAATTTAAATCTTCTAACTCCTAGTTCAGTTCTTTTTCCACTACATTCCAGCCTAAGAGATGAAAAATGAATGATAAAGTTACTGCAGAAAATGAAACTCATGAAATCAAATACATAAGATACATACGGAGTCTATCCAAAGCCTTTTTTTATATTAACTTATGTATAGAAAAAAATCCAGCTCATTCAATCCAAACAGTTAAGTCCAATGTCCTTTAAAATTATTCATAAATGTTTTTCCATTCTAACTCCCTTGATGATCAACTCATTTCCTGAAGCACTAGATTTAATTATATTTATCTTGGCTGGAATTCAGTAGCTACAAGTGCATTAATTGGTGTTATTGCCTGGACACAGGAGTTTAACTGATTCCTCTTGTTACATTGGCAACAATGAACAAATATATTAAGTTACATATTAAAAGAAAATATTCTTATTCCAAAATTTCCAGCAATTAAGTTTTAGAAAGCACAAAAAGTAGAGTGCGCACATCTGTAATCATCTGTACCAGCCAATTAGAACACAATATATTTCATTGTTTAATATATCTGCAATATTTAATTCCCATAAACTTACTCTGAAAGACATTTCTATATTTTCACCTCCCCAGATTTCCATTTCTTCATCGTAACTTCCAATATACTCAAAATATTCTTTTGATATGGAAAAAAGTCCTCCTGCAAAAGTGGGTGTTCTGAAAAATAATCCATTGTCAAATTTTGTTATAAAAACTAAACAAGATAAAACAGCATATTTTAAGAACTGAATCAAATTTAAAAAATTAAAGCCATATCACATTTTCAAAGCTTTTATTCAGATTAATAAAAACTAGAAATGCTATCTTCAAAGTCAAGATTTTTGGGGTCGGGGGGAGTACCTCGTGTCTGCTCCCATTGGAACAAACTTAAATGTCTTCTCCTAATCATGCTTTAAGATTTTTAAGTAATGATTGATGAGGAGGACATAAGAGCTCACTTACTGCTACCTCTTACTCAGCAACATTATGTGTAAGTGAGTACACAAATGAATGACTTTTAGATTCTCTTTATATAGAATATGTGTGTTCTTTATCAATTACCTCAGAGGCAATCGCTATAAAGCAAACAGTGTGTACGTATTCAATGTATGGTACAGGGTGTAAATATAAAACTCTGAGAGCAATCATCTTACTTAATTGGGTAGGTTTCATCTTTCCTTCTTTGCTTCTCATGATCAGGAAGTGACTCCCAGCCAAATGAAAGACTCCAGTCAAAATTTCCACGGTTATGGTTACTTCCATAAGGAGAAGGTTTGTTGAATTCAAATGTGTTCAGATCTATGGATGCAATATCTGGACTCACGACAGCTGTGTAGTTCTCAGCTATTCTGGCCAACAGAGGTTCTAACCAACCATAGAAACACTCACCTGGAGGGAACAGAATTTTAACTAATTCAATAAAAACAATGAAGTTTGTTATTTAGTTATTTAGGTGAAAATTTACAGAGAAATGAGAATAACAGAGTCAATTTGTGTTTTGAACATGTATATAATGGAGACTTCTTTCTCCCTCAGATTTATTGAGATATAACAGACAAAATAAAAATTCTACTTATTTACAGTGTGTATCATAGTGTTTATATATGTATACATTGTAAAATGATTATTACAATCAAGCTAATTAACATATCCATCACCTTATTGGCTTATGGAGTGGGTGGTTAAGAACATTTAAGATCTACTCTTCGCAATTTTTGAGTAGACACTACATTACTATGAATTACAATCACCACATTGTACAATTGATCCCCAGAAGGTGAGATTTCTTAAAGGTTTCTTGTGATGAGATTAAGGTAGGATGAAAAAGGTGAAACAAGATTCAGTACAGTTAGAAAAATTCCCCTACAGATGATGACCTTCTTTCTTCTACAAAAGATGCAAAATAACATTAGTGTACTTAAAGTTTAGATGATGTGTTAAAATGACCTATGAATCAAAGGTAGCTTTTTGCTGTTCCACGTCACCTGGCCCTAAACGTGTTCTGATTTATTTAAACTTGTGTCTCCCTGAGTAAGGCACAGTAATTGAAATTTTCATTTATCTGACTGGGTTTTAGGAGAAAATAAGGAGTCAGTATAAATTCCGATTTTAGCAACTAGAGAAGAAGGACCATTCAAAGCTGCCCCAGACCTAATATAAAGGGAGGGCCAAGGAATTTCATGCTGAGATAGGTCTGGGCCCTGCTCACAGGCCAGGTTGTTTTAGATAACACACAGCAAGTTCAGCCAATGAAGTGCTGTCCTATTCTGGGCTCCCCACAAAGCAGTATTTGGCAGTCATGGTCCAGGAAGACCATCAGACACATTCACCCAGTGGGTAGTGGGTAAGAATGTCCAGTATGATCTTACTGTAATTTTGAACAAGGAGAAGAAATACCAGAGGATGGTATTTTCCTTTTTAAAACACCTCTCTAGGATTACCTTTAGTCTTCTCTTCATTTTCTAAATGTCTGGTATTAAAAGAGAACTGAATGTGATGGCTCTAAGCAACCCAAGCACATGCAAAAGCCCTTCTGTAATAATCAGTGTGTGCTCAAAACCAGTAATTGGGTGAAACATAACCTAAGCACTGGCCAATTCAAAGCTAGACATTCATAGAGTATAGCCCACTAAACTCAAAGCTCAAGGGACTAAATGACATTTTAGTAATAACTAGCATGCATATGACACATTGACTCTAAAAATGCTTTCTAAATACTTTAAAAAATTTGACTCTGAAAAAAATTAAAGGACAAAGAAAAACCAACAGCAACAAAGTCAAACAAAAATTGACAGTGTTTATGTAAGGGATACCAAAGAAGATGGGATGGGGCACCCCTAACCTGGCATAAAAACTATATATATAAACATGTTTTTGTGGGTGTTTTTGAAAATTCGCAGACTCCTTTTTATGCCAAGGAGTCTGCAAATTTAAAAAAAAAAAAAAACTAAAATATAAAAAAGCAGCAGTACTAGGACAAAGTTTAATGATAGGGTGGATTACATTCATTCATTCATTCATTCATTCATTTTGAAATGGAGTGTCACTCTGCCGCTCAGGCTAGAGAGCAGTGGCACAATCTCAGCTCAGTGCAACCTCTGCCTCCCAGGTTCAAGTGATTCCCATTCCTCAGTCTCCTTAAGAGCTGGAATTATAGGCACACGTCACCATGCCTGGCTAATTTTTGTATTTTTAGTAGAGATAGAGTTTTACCTTACTGGCGAGGCTCGTCATGAACTCCTGACCTCAAGTGATTCACCCACTGCGGCCTCCCAAAGTGCTAGGATTACAGGCATGAGCCACTGTGCCCCGCCACATTTAAATAGTAAATAAGCTTTCACTCAAAATGTGAGAATCAAAAAAAACAACAGAGAAAAAAAAACAACTTTTTTTTTTTTTTTAAACAGAAAAGAAACATGAAAAAAAAAATGAGGCATGGATAACTGGCTGGAACAGCTAGTAACTGGAGAACATTAAAGTTGAGGAAACTTAAACACAAACGAGGTAAGAATTCTGCATAAGTGAAAGGAATTTTCTCCGCTGAGCTGTTATCTGCTTGGGCTGTCATTGCTATAATCACCAGTTGAAAACGCTGTTAAAGAAAATTCAATTAGGCATTTAGAAAAGAAAAGCCTTCCTTACCTTTTAAATTAGAGACAGAGGGAAGGAAAATGTTACAACCATATCCATACATATATACTTACAGTGAGCATCTAAAAATGTGAGCGTTTCAGCTGTTGCGACTGTTGCTCCTAGCAACCGAGCAGTGATCAGACCTTTTCTTTCTCTTTGTCTGACTATTTTTACTATAGAAAATTGTTTTACATATTCATCTAGTTTATCATGTAAGTACTCTGTAAGGAAAAACAAATCAGGATTAATTCTTTCTAAATTTATTTTCATATATAGCTTATGAAAGCTAATGAAACCACAGAGTAATGATCCTTCCAAATTCATAATCTTAACAGTTGCATGTGTCCTTCCAGTAAAATGAAAATTTTATCTTTAACTCGTTACTGGGGAAAAAGGCTAGCTATGCAAATGATCACTACTGTAACACATAACACTGTAACACATACTTATTCTGTACACTTCCTATCAATAAATATAATGTGTTGGGAGGGAAGTGAAAACCTTCAAATGGAGTCAACCCTAGCTGTTCAGAAGGCTCATTTAGAGGTCTGAGAAGACTGACTGTCAGAGTGAAAGATATGGAATTTGGTCAAAAAGATATTCAATGCTTTGACGTTAGTATTTAAATCTAGAAATCTTAAAGAAAAATGTCAAATATCAAAAGACCTCTCATATTTAACTAAGGATCGAAATAATTTAAGATCAAAATGTTGAGACAAGTCAGAAAGTCCACGGTTATAGCATTTTGGGACGACTCCTACACAGAATCAGCAGAAAAATTTGCGAAAGCTTTGGAGTCTCCTGACAGAGTTTTATTTAGTAAAATATGAACCAGGCAAATTTTAGTATTGGGTATATACTTTAAGATATTCAATATCCCAAATTGGATAAGGTTTGTAATAAGCAAAAATTGAGATAATAGGTTTTTAAAAAGTTATTAACAAACGTCAATCAAGTGTTGTTTTTTGTTTGTTTGGTTTTGTTTTGAGACAAGGTCGTGCTCTGTCGTCCAGGGTGGAGTGCAGTGGCACAACTCACTGCAACCTCTGCCTCTGGGCCGCAAGCAGTTCTCCTCAGCTTCCCAAGTAGCTGGGACCACAGGCATGTGCCAACACGCCCAGCTAATTTTTCTTTTCTTTTTTTTTTTTTGGAGACGGGGTTTCATCATGTTGCCCAGGCTGGTCTGGAACTCCTGAACTCAAGCTATCTGCAGGCCTCAGCCTCCCAAAATGCTCGGATTACAGGTTGAGCCACTGCGCCGAGCTGTTCGTATTCTGAAACAACTTCTTAAGCCTGCTTTTCACAATTACATTTTTGATTTCTTATTGAGTACAAAATGCAGTTCTTCAAGCAGCCTTCATGGGCCCAAAACATAGCCTCAAAAAGATTTGGGAATGTTAAGAAAATCAATAAATATCCTGGGGTAAAAGTTTTCTTCTGCTAGATTTTAGAAGCAAATGCAGATGACTTTGACTTTATCTGTGATAATATAACCTTTTTTTCAATTCTCCAGTAGTTCAGTTAAGAGAGCTGCTTATTTAAAGCTTAAACATTCATAAGAGAGGTAAGTGCAGGAACAACCCTTGTGGAAAAATAAATCTATCTAAACACTGTTGTCTCAGAGTGATAGATTAACTTTTGAACACCTTCTAACTACCTCAAAATAATTCTCAGATTAAGCTTTTAACTACCTCGGATATAATTCTCAGAAAGACGAGCAGAATTTTAACTCATCTTAAATACATAATCATAAACATTTTCTGTTTTAAGAGACTTGTAAAAATTTCAACATTCTTGATTAGAATTATTTTAAATGGAGTTACTACAGATTCCTTCAATATACCTTCTCACTGTTGGAATTTGTTTAAAAAAAAAAACTTTTAACTTACCCATAACACAGGAACTTCCTGTAAATTTATATCTGCACCCTAAATTTAGCTTCCATGCACATCCTTTATTTGGGAGGTTGAGAACAGAAAGCTACATGAAATCAGATGCCCTGATTTCACTTTGTAGCACAATTACTTTTAGCTGTGTGATCTTGGGCAAGGAATTTTACCTTTTCTGCATCTCAGTTTATTTAAGATGAGGATAGTAGGACTTACCATCACAAGACATTGCTGGAAGGATAAAATGAGACATCTGACCTTCAGGAATCTGATTCCAAACTTGGATTTATTAAGGAATAAATTTTGTAATCATTGAAATAATATGTATCTGTTTGATACAATATTTAAAATACTTGTGATGTTTGAAAATTTACAAGTTAGAGTATTTGTTAAATTCACCTTGTGATTCCAATTTAAAATGTGTAATTTAGTATTTGACTTCCAATTTTAAGTGTAAATGTACTAAAGAATTTGGCTAACCTGGTGAGTAATATTGGAATATTTAAGAACAATGAAATAAAATAGAACACGGTGACTCTTTAGTGATTTTTAACTATTCATTTATATTATTTATTGATATATTATTTATATTAACTCATTTAGACTTTAAAATAACTCTAGAAGTTATATACCAGTTCTGTATTTCCTCAATTTTAAGCTACATAATTGGATTCTTCTTATCAATTTCTTATAATCAATGGCATGCTAAGTTTAATTAGCTGTGGGTTTTCTCTAGTAATTTATAAATTAATGACATATAATACATTTGATGAAATATGGCATTATTCCCATTTTACTGATAAATCACGGCAGAGAGGTTTAGTAACTTGCCCAAGTCATATAGTTGGTTAGGAAAAGAGCTGGGATTCAAATCAAGGCAGCCTGACTCAAAGGCTCAAGTCTGTGGTCTTAACTTCTATGTCTTACAATAACAGTCTCGCATTGAGGACTATACAGTTATGAATAACGGTGTTTCATACATTTCTGCATTTGAAAATATTTGAATATGTCCATCCTTGGATTCTAATTTCATTCAGCATACCCACTATCCAAACTATTATATTCAAGCTCTGAGATGGCATAGAGAGAGCACCATATAATCAAGTAGACTTGGGATACCACCATATGGATGTGGGAAACAATTTAATTTGCATGTGCTTTCTTACCATCTACACTAGCATCATCCACCAGAATGATTTCCTTCAGCAGTATTGCAGGTGAAGAATAGAGCACACTGTGGACAGTTCTAAGCAACGTGGACCACGCTTCATTATGAAAAACTATTATGACACTGGTGGTGGGCAGGGGAGGGCAACGCTTAAATTTTTGTTCAATACATCTAGAAGAAGTCAAAGAAGTAGAAAACAGTTATAAATTTTATTATTTTATTTCACAGCTATACCATTGCTAACATTATCATTATTGAATATTTATCACTGAAAAATGATAGTTTTCTTCTATGTAATATAATCTCAATGCTATATAAAATGTAAATAAATCAAAACAAATTTTTTACAAGCAAATCACTCACCCAGAGATGATGTCCACCAACAGAGATGGCAACATGTCAAGAATTACAACACGTTATTATAGCATTCTCAACAATATAACTTAAAATACAAATAACATCTTAAATAATGAAAATAACCTACGATGAGACAGCATGTAAAAATGACAAATCCTTATAATTGCTCAAATAAAAACCAAATTTTTCTTATTTCATGCAGAAATCATCCATTTTTCATATTTGCAACTTTAAAAATTGTACCACCTTATTAAATTTATTTATTTATTTTTTTTTTATTTATTTATTTTTTTTTGACGGAGCTTTGCTCTATTGCCCAGGCTGGAGTGCAGTGGTGTGATCTCAGCTCACTGCAAGCTTCACCTCCCAGGTTCACGCAATTCTCCTGCCTCAGCCTCCTGAGTAGCTGGGACTACAGGCGCCCACTACCATGCCCAATTAATTTTTTGTATTTTTAGTAGAGATGGGGTTTTATCATGTTAGCCAGGATGGTTTCAATCTCCTGACCTTGTGATCTGCCCGCCTCGGCCTCCCAAAGTGCTGGGATTACAGGCGTGAGCCACTGTGCCTAGCCTATTAAATCATTTTTATAAAGATCATCTTTAATTACGTATTTACCTAAGTATGTACTATAGGTTTCTTATTTCCTAGGCTTATTGAATCAATTTACTTAATCTGCATACAGAATCAAAAGGGAAAAAATAGCTTTACTGTAAAACCTATGTTCTTCTTAACATTATTTAAATTTACTCATGGAGATAAGAGCCCAACACCCTTCAGTTGCTCTGCCAGGGCCAATGGGGAAACTGTAGCTTCCAGTGTGATATTAGGGGCCTGAGAAAACCACCCTAAAAAAAGATACACAAATTATCCCATTAATTACTTTCATAGTCATACCTCAATAGGAATGTCTCTGATACCCTTTTCTAACAGCAAGTCTTTCGAATGGAATATTTGTAGTGATAAAAAAGGAGTTGGATTAGAGCAAAATATCAAAGAAGATGTCAACAATAGATTAGAAAAAGGAGAGGATGGGTTCTGAGTGAAAGTGGCATTGCTCTTTAGTTTCTTCATGATTTCAAAGCATGATACAGGTGCACGGGCACCTTTATCATTCATAAATAAAAACAAATTATTTATTCTAAATTGAATTTTGGATAAACTGCCAATTAAAAAAAAGCTCAAACACAAACTATTCATATACACACTTGAACCACAATTACACAGAAATAAATAACTAAATATAAGCTTATATTTTGAACCCATAAAAGTTTATAACCAACATAAACTAGAAAGAAAAATTACGAAAAATTCCATACTATGATATTTTATTTTTAAAGGAAGAAAAAAAGAGGAAACTCATGATTTGTTATAAGCATTTTGAGGAGAAAGTGAAATTCTAGTTTAAGATTTTTTTCCTACCTTTATTTGCTGTGTGGTTAATTAATATAGTATTAATCGATAATTATAAAATGATTTTGAAGATTTAAAGTATAAAATTTCACAAACATTCATACTAGTAAAATGTTATCACTTTAATCTTGCAAAATTTTCCATCAGTTTAAACTAGGATTTATTTGCTTAACTGATAATTACCAATATCAAGTAAAAATGTCATGTTATATCATTAACATAATTAATAAAATTTCACAATATACTTTCATAAACTCCATTCCTTTTGAAACAATTAACATGTTAAATGTATGCTTTGAAAGTTGTTTTACACATTTAAAATAGTGCAATTAAAATAACTTGCCAAAGCAACTGTATCATTCCAGTCAAACCATTTGAAAAACCTGGCACATAGAAACATGCCTAAATTATCAGTCACATGACCATCTGGCTTTGGAAGAAACTAGATCTATATTTCTAATGAGCATGGAAAACATTAGCAGTTCTTCAGAAAACGTGTTATTTGCTGATACTGGCTACATTCGAAGTACAAAACAAAACTTTTTTTTTTGGAGACAGAGTCTTGCTCTGTCACCAGGCTGGAGTACAATGGTGCAAGCTTGCCTCACTGCAACCTCCGCCTCCCGGGTTCAAGCGATTCTCCTGCCTCAGCCTCCCAAGTAGCTGGAATTACAGGCGCGCATCACCACGCCCAGCTAATTTATGTATGTTTAGTAGAGATGAGGTTTCACCATGTTGGCCAGGCCAGGCGCGGTAGCTCATGCCTTTAATCCCAGCACTTCGGGAGGCCAAGGCGGGTGGATCATGAAGTCAAAAAACAAATCTTTACCACCTGTACAAACCCTGTCCAAAGTAAGAAATAATTAAATCTTCAACTCCAACCAAAAAATGTTGTTAATGTTCTTACTTGTTTTTCACTTACTTACTTACTTTCACCAAACCTGGCCTATCTTGTACAATTAAAAATCTACTGAGGGGCTGGGTGCAGTGGCTCACACCTGTAATCCCAGCACTTCGGGAGGCTGAGGTGGGAGGATCACTTGAGGTCAGGAGTTTGAGACCAGCCTGGCCAACATGGTGAAACCCCGTCTCTTTTAAAAATACAAAAATTAGCCAGACAGGGTGCTGTGTGCTTGTGGTTCCAGCTACTCGGGAGCCTGATGCTGGAGAATCGCTTGAACCTGGGAGGCGGAGGTTGCAGTGAGCGGAGACCCGTGCCATTGCACTCCAGCCTGGCCAACATGGTGAAACCCCATCTCTATTAAAAATACAAAAATTAGCCAGAAGTGGTGCCGCATGCCTGTAGTCCTAGCTACTCGGGAGCTGACACTGGAGAATCGCTTGAACCCGGGAGGCAGAGGTTGCAGTGAGCCGAGATCACACCACTGCACTCCAGCCTCAGTGACAGAGAAAGACTCCATCTCAAAATAATGATAGCAATAATAATAATAACAATAATGAATAATCTGCTGAGGGCGGGCCGGGCGCAGTGGCTCATGCCTGTATTCCCAGCACTTTGGGAGGCCGAGGCAGGCGGATCACCTGAGGTCAGGAGTTTAAGACCACCCTGGGCAACATAGTGAAACCCGTTTCTACTAAAAATACAAAAAATTAGCCAGCTGCAGTGGCAAGCGCCTGTAATCCCAGCTACTCGGGATTGTTCACAAAAAACAGGGCATTCTGAAATATAATTAGGTACTCAAAGACTTTGAGTCAAAGTAATCACAGACTGTGAATTGGTTTACAAATCTATAAAATATTATCCATCAGTTCCAAAATCTTGGCATATTTTTAAACATTTTTATTCTAAAGAAATACACAGAGAAATGGAAACAATTCCTCTACCTTCTACATTTCCCATAAAAATTGTCCAATAATTCCCCCTAAATAGATGAGAAAGCTGCAGTATTTAGGAATAAAGGATTTCCTTGTGGATAGCAGTGAGATCTAGAATTCAGTTTTCTAATTTCCAAGCTAATAATTTTCATATCTGTACTGCCTCACCAAGCATAAATATGGATATGTAGCCTCAATCATTATAAGCAAAAAATAAATACAACAGGTTAAATAAACAGTATTTGCTGATTTTCTGCCTTAGAGTAGCTAAAGAACAGGCAACTTCCTTAGCTCACCCCTCTGTCCCCTGCAAAGCCTGATGATAAAGAATAAACAATAAATATTCTTCAACATACTCAGGAGGTCGAGTGTCTGGTCCAAGATCTCGGTGCAAAGAAATCCTGTCACTTGCGAAAGCATTAAAACAGTGTTTAGCTTCCCCACGTTCCTTTTCCTTTTGCTCTTCAACACTTAAATTGGTTGTCTTGAATGCTTTACCAGAAGCACCAGGTGCATTTGAATCCTGAGGTGGACGGTCAAGAACAGGCTTCAATTCTGCTGCTGTATAATATCCTTGCAAACAAGGTCTCTCACCAACATCAATGTTTTGCCTGACAGGTGCTCCTATTTGCATTTTTGGCATTGCATCCTTAATATTGTTTACAGCTTCTAGCATTAAATCTAACATCTTGTTTTTGTTTTTCATGCTTCTTTCCATCCTTGATTCCTCTTTGGAATATTGAACACTTACTTCTCTTTGCATTAACACCAAAACTATAATAAAGAAAAAAACTACTGCACCAAGCTTCCAGAACTTTTTATGGTAATGTCTTTTAATGTGTAATTTGACTAGTCGCTTTAGGTGAGCCATTCTGACATTAAAAGCTTGTCACTCGACAAATAACAGTTATTTCTTCTGTTACTTATATTTTTTATCATAGATTTGCTGAGAAGAAGGTATCTTTAAATGGTAGTACCTATAAACAGAAATGGTAGATGGTATTAGCAGTTATTCAGTCCTACAGGCATGGCTCAACTCATTCATTTAACCAACAACTGAACACAAGCTACCAATGTACTCTTATGGTTAATGAGAAAACAAAGATATCTCATCCTCAAGAAAATTACACTTTTGGAAGAAAATAATTGTTACGATTTACTACAATTTATTGGGGTTGCAAAATATTGATATTCGTCTCCATTCAAAAATACATTCTTTTTAAACTCTAATATCCACTATTTATAAAATTAATTTTATAAATATATTTTGAGTTAAAAAAGAATATCTTCACTTGATAACCAAGGAATCAAAGGACCTCATTAAATGAATTACAAAAAAGAGAGCTCCATAAGGAAGCAAGGGTATACTGATAGGTACTACCAGGCATCCACCTAAAATAGTGGCCTTCATTTTATGTAGTTTACTCTCAAACTAAGGTGTACTCCAGCGTAACCAATGACGGTAATATAGCAGTTTCATCAGTAAGTAAACTATCATTCTCCCAGATTTTCTGACCCAATAGTACTTGTGAATCTTGAAGGAACCCCTAAAAACAAGAAAATCAGTGGCATTTAATTTGTTGTTTTATAACAGCTAGTTTTAATAGCTCACAGAAATACAAGATCTAATAGTAAAAAGAGAATTCATTAGCTTTACTTGCAGTGTCTCTAGGGAGCCTATAGAGGTCATTAAGTTAAAAATGCAGAATTTGGTTTGGTAAAATATTGCTTGCAATTGACCCTAAGAAGAGGACAGCAAGTTTATTAAACCCTAATATGGGACAACAGGAACAAAGGAAAAGAAAAATAGGACTTTTCAGGAAATGATTACATACTATGAGCCATGACAGACAGTCAAGAAATTTGCAAGGACAAAGGGGAGGGAAAATGCCTGTTCCTCCTATGGTCTAAATACATTTTAAAGAAAATATCATTTATAGCAATGAAAATTAACTTTTGACACCTTCTTTAACTTCTCTTCCAAAGTTCTCACCAAATTTAAAATAAGAAAACCAGGTTCCAAGATGGATTCTCTGGTTTTTGGCAGGAAATTTTAAGTGGAATAAACAAAATAGGCAGAACTTAGTTCTATATACTATTTCTAATTCTATATTCTTTTCAGTATGGAGTGGACACTTCTGCTCCAAAAGATAACCCCAATTCTGGCATATATTGCTCATAAAAGTGAGATTCTAATATTTCTGAGCTTTGGTTGCTTTAAGAACTTCATGTAAAAAATGAAATGACCGCTTAAGCTTTTGAAAAGAATATAAGAAGTTACAGAACCACACAATGACAGTTGTGTAATTAATTATGTGTCAAATGTTGTGCTAGGCTGTGGTTACAAAATTAAAGATAGCCCTTACCTTCAAGAAGCAGAATTGAAATATAAGAAGTCAGAGGCCAGTCACAAAGCAGTGTGATATGTGTTATGACAGGAGACAAAGAAAGCTATACAGGCTTGGAACAGTGGCTCATGCCTATAATCCCAGCACTTTAGGAAGCTGAGGCCAGAGGATGACTTGAGACCAGGAGTTTGAGACTAGCCTGGGCAATATAGCAAGACCCCATCCTACAAAAAAATACAAAAATTAGTCAAATGTGGTGGCACACGCCTGTAGTCCCAGCTACTCAAGTGGCTGAGGTGGGAGGATGGCTTGAGCTCAAGAGGTTAAGGCTGCACTGGGCTGTGATTGTGCCACTGCACTCCAGCATGGGTAGCAGGACAATACTCTGTCTCAAAAAAAAAAAAAAAAAGAAAAGAAAAAAAAAGAAAAAGTAAACAGTGTAGAGGGTCAGGAGAAATGTTAGGGAAATTTTCTTAGAGATGACACTGTTGAGCAAAATCTTGAAATACAAGTACATTTTAGGCAGGTAGACAGGAGGGAAAACAGAGAGGGAATGTCAGATGCAAAACCATAAAAGCAAGAAAAAGCATGATCAGTCCTTCAGTACAGCATAAGTGGAAGGCACAGGGAGAGAATGACAACTGATGTGACTCGAAGGTCAGTTAAAGATCAGTTCATAAAGTCTTGTACATCTTTCAGTGAATTTGGAAATTATCAATTTTTTTCCAAAATAGATGGAATGGAGAAAACTGTTTTTAAGAAAAGATCATAATCCTCACGCCTGTAATCCCAGCACTTTGGGAGGCTGAGGCGGGTGGATCACGAGGTCAGGAGATCGAGACCATCCTGGCTAACATGGTGAAACCTGGTCTCTACTAAAAATACAAAAAATTAGCCGGGTGTGGTGGCAGGTGCCTGTAGTCCCAGCTACTTGGGAGACTGAGGCAGGAGAATGGCGTGAACCCAGGAGGCAGAGCTTGCAGTGAGCTGAGATTGAGCCACTGCGCTCCAGCCTGGGCCACAGAGCGAGACTCTCTCTCAAACAAAAACAAGAAAAAAGAAAAAGAAAAGATCATAATCAAATTTCTGTTTTAGAAAAATTACAAGTTTTTAAGCCCCCGTAAAGGTGATGGATATTAATGAGATGAGGGGAGCCAAAGGATGGAGTGAAATGATTTCAAGAAAGTCCAGGAAGTGGAATCAAACAACGGTCTTGGTGAGAGAAAGGGAAGAATGGGAGATGAATGGTGATACGGTTTGGCTGTGTCCCCACCCAACTCTCACCTTAAATTGTAAAAATCCCCATGTGTCAAGAGCAGGGCAGATGGAGATAAATTAATCATGGGAGTGGTTTCCCCCATACTGTTTTCATGGTCATGGATAAGTCTCACGAGACCTGATGGTTTTATAAATAGGAGTTCCCCTGAACATGCTGTCTTGCCTGCCATCATGTAAGACGTGCCTTTGCTCCTCTTTCACCTTCTGCCATTATTGTGAGGTCTCCCCAGCCATGTCAAATTGTGAGTCCATTAAACCTTTTTTTCTTTATAAATTATTCAGTCTCTGGTAAGTCTTTATTAGCAGCATGAGAACAAACTAATACAAATGAGTAAAGTGATAACATTAACAAAGGCAAGAAATACAGGAAGAAGCACAGATTCAGGGTAGGAATTAAGAAGATAATTTGTTCAGTTTTGGACGTAGCAAATGTAATATGCTAATGGAACTTCCAAAGTGAGTTTGGATGAGCAAAAAGATATATGGGACAGGAAATTATGAAAAAGCTCTGCAGTAGAGATGAAAATTTGAGTCAGTCTTGGGGTAAATGTAACGTAAAACAAATAGGACAGAGAAATACCTACATTTAAGGGTAGAAAAAAAGAGACTGACTGGAAAGAAAGTCCAATTTTTCCAATCCTATGAAGAGTGGGGGGCGGGCAAAAAAATAAAAAACACAAATGAAAACACAGATAAATTATCCATGTCAAGTGGAGGTAATTTTATAATCTTATCTCACACTTGAGAGATGTTAAATGTGTAACAGTTGGTTGACCTTTAAAACTGAACTTCATTAGACCTGGTCTAATGGGCTTTAGTGAAAAATGAGAAGAGAACCTTGGCAGAGAGAGTAGTTGTAGTCATGCCTTCAAGATCCTAAGGCTTAGGATTCAGGGCACTTCCAGAATAATAGGGCAGTAACCTCATCTATGGGGTTCCAGGAAGGTAAGAATGGGCAAAATGTTGGGGTCTCACAGGAAAGTGGCTCCCAGTTGATGAACTACAACCTCATCCCCTCTAACTGTATCTTGACGAAAGGATGACATTCGTCAACCTGTGTTCACCTCCTTTCTGTTCCTGAGAGGACTACCCCTCCCTGCCCTGCCAAAAAAAAAAAAAAGGCAAAAATAGATAGCCTTCCCCAGGGCTATCTAGTGATACTCAATTTTTCTGTAGCTAGAGGTAGGCTAAATTAGGAATTTGAGAAGAATTGAGCTGGTTTCCCTGAGATATTTTGACAGAACATGGAAAAAGAGTTCAGAGAAAGCACAGAATAGGAGGATATGACAGAACTAGATTCTTCCACAGTAGTGATAGTTTTCCCAAAACGTTTTATGTCAGAAATCATGTATGTGGGTAGGGTGGGAATTGAAAAGAAGGATAGACTTAATGATGCAGATAGAAGAGAGTTCTTTTTAGGAATAAAACATAAAGTAGAGGAATTCTTCATCAGAAGGACAGTAATCCTATCATTGTGAGTACATGTGTATCTATGTAAGGACCCACTCAGTTAGTAGGTTTTAGTTTGGGATGCTAATAACAGAGGAGTCGAGGAAAGCTTATGAAAGACATGGATAGCATCCTATTCATGGTTGTTTTTCTGGCACTTACCACAATGTTGGTAACACAGTAGGCACCCAGAAAAATTTGTTCACTGGAAAAAGGAAGAAAGAGGACCAAGATTTTATCAGAAACAACAACAAAAACAATCCTTAACTTGTGTTAAATGTTGACTAGGTCCCTGGTATTAAATGACATTTAATACATAAGTTCTCACTCTCTCAGCAATATTGTGAAGTATTATTACTATTTTTTTTTTTTGTAGAGATAAGATCTTGCTATGTTGCCCAGACAGACTGACCTTGACTTCCCCAATCCTCCTATCTCAGCCTCCCAAAGTGCTGGGATTACAGGCATGAGCTACTGCATCTAGCCCTTGTTATTCCAATTTTACTGACCGATATGGAGAGTCAAAGAGATTAGGTGGCTTGGCCATGCCAGTTCAGTTTAAGACCAGCATTTTTCTAACTGAGTTCAAACTCAGATTCAATGTAAAATCCTGAGTTTTTAACTGAAATTATCTAAAATAAAATGTTTAAGAGTCAAGAACTGATATCCTAAATAGAAGGGATAAGAAAAAAAAACTGAAGAAAAACCATAAAAACTATAAATAGCTTCCTATCATTGGGTAATGTTTTACAAATAAATGATTTTAAAGCTTTTCAAAGCACCTTTTCAGAAATAAAGATTGAAAATAAGGTTGTAGATCTTAAAATAGAAGATTAAGAAGTTGAGAACCTTACAGAGGCAGAGCCTAGAAATAGGAAGATGATGTTTTGATCTTTTCAGAC